TCGATCGGTCTGTCTGAGGGGAGAGGGAGGGATTCCAGGGGGGTCGGTCTGTCTGTCTGGGGGTGGGGGGGGAGGGAAGGTTTCCTCAGGGGGTCTTCCTAGGAAGAAGTGTCTCCCCCTTTGTGCTGAGCACGGGGGTACCTGGTTATGGGTGATAGGCAGCAGCAGAAAACCTGCTGCTTGGGAGTTGCCTGGCCCTTATCTGTGCCCTTGGTTGCCCTGCGTCCAGCGCTGGCCTGACACACTAGTCCTGTTGGACTAGTTCTGTTCCTAGGGGCTGATCAGAAAGCTTCGAGCACGTTTTGGGATGTGACAAGATTGATGGAAGAGACACGCTCGCCAGCCCCAGAGAGCTCTTCTTTCTTGTAGCTGGAAGCTCCTCTCTTTCACCCACAGAAGTTGGTCCAGTAACAGATATTGCCTCCTGCACCATGCCCCTCTAATATCCTGGGACTCTCAGGCTACAACTGCACTGCAAACAACGCTTTCGGGTGATCTTTCAAGGTTCACCCACGTACCCCGTCCAACACTAAAACAAACACGCAGAGTTAAGCCCTCCCCCCCCCCCCCACTGCCTTATGGACAGCCTCATAGTGTAGAGGAGGCCCCTCTGACTGGTGGGGGATTTGCCCTCCGAGGCCCATGGATGACACTGCTCTTATTCACTATACCTTGACAGCCCTGTGGACTAAAGTGGTCCATTTGCCTGCAATAGGCAGTGGCAGTACAAACCCCGCTTCTTCTCCAATGGGCCTCAAGCCAACCTTGGTTGAAATTAGCAACCTTTATGGCTGAGAGGGTAATTCAGTCTCCGTGCTCCTTCGCTCCTGCTGCAGCTAGCATCTGGGGAACAGCTAGTAGCAGTTGTGAGTGTGACAGTGGTAGCTTTTGTGAAAGTGATTCTTACCCCCTAAGAAAGAGACTGAAACAATCCACTAATTTCACAGGTCATTGAACATCTATCCAATGGGTTTGGGTCATTACTTACCAGGGCTAGATTTAAGTGGGGTCATAGAACACTTAATGGGTGGCAATAAATTTCAATTAAAAAAAACACCAACACAAATAGCAGAAGTTTAAAATGATGGGTGGCCCTTTTTTCTAACTCTGAATTTTTCTATAAGCTGTTTGAAATGTTAGATTTCTGATGCCAGTTTTAATTAAAGGGAATTAAAAAGCTGGCCAACACTTTTTCTTTGTATGGCACAGAAGTAAATTTGTGAGGTGGGCGCCTCACAATGAGGTATGGATGTATGTGTTCAATAAGTTAATGAATACACTGTTTTAACTCATTTTTTCTTCAGGAAGGTATTTCTTTCATGTCCCTTTGGGTTCATGTCAGCTTCAGCCCCTGCACCATTCTTGGTGTCAGAAAAAATCAACATCTGCTGTACAACACAACTGTGTCAATTCCCCAACGATGAATCAAACCTTCAAGACACCAAACGATGCACTCTCTAATTTGTACTCCTCTGAACAACAATCTGCCATCCTGCAAGTGCTCAACACGGCATCTGAGAGAGAGCTTTCCACCATTAAACTATTGCAAGGAAGAAAGTCTGTCCGTGTAATTGAGCATAGGGAAAAATATGGACCATTTCAGAACTTGCAGAGTTTATTGAACGTCCCTCTCTTTCAATATAAAACTGTTATTAAGGTGTGTAATTTTATCCTCAATCCATCTGAGAAAGGAGATAGAAGAGAGAGAAAAATACGAGACACCAGGCCTTCAATGAGGTTTATTAAACCTGAAATAGAGAGAGAGAGGTTGAAGGTATACAACATTTTAAATTTGATTTTTATCAAGAAACTACTTATTTTCAGAGTAAACTTCTGTTATTCCCATAAATCAATTTTAATAATTCATCAATGAGTAGATATAATACATTTATTGTAAGAAATGGTATTTTCCCCAAGACATCAAATAATATTTAGCACTTAGTGATTTACATCTTAAAAACGCATAATTATTTTTTTCTCCTATCCAGACTTTAGATAGCATTGTGTCTGTTGTTTTTGGCACCCGTAAAATTGCATGGGCTCATGTTGATCGAAATCTAGCAGTTCTTGACTGGCAACAAGAAAAGTGTGGTAGATTCATGAAAGGAACCTATATTCCAGCAGTATATCTGGAAGAAGTAAGTAGCGCATGCTTGAGACTTTAATAAGCGTCAACTCCTTCCCTTGTATCTCTGTTAATCTTAAATTGCTTATTCTTAGGGCTGTCATAGTACAGTATGTAAAAATTGACAATTTTCCAAGGCAGGGCCTTCTTTTTAGCAATTCTTTTAAGCTGTATTTATTTTGCAAGTTTGATCTCATTAGAAATCCTTCAGAGTTGAAAACAGACCCTTATAACATTTGTAAAGTAGAACTGTAACTATGCAATCAACCTTTGATAAAGAATCTAGCAGGTTAGGAGCCCTTAAAACGTATCCTATAGTCAATGTGTGCAGGATGCAGGACTTGAGTTGCAGACGGAAATGGGAAGGCTGGCTTCTTTCCAACACTGTTTTTTGGATCTCTGCAAGTACAAGAGTCTGCAAGAAAGATGCACCCACTCCTTCCCTCTACACTGCAGGTAGACATCCGTGACTTGGGCTCAGGCTGTGGGGCTGTTTAATTGTGATGTAGATTTTCTGACTCATGCTGCAGCCCCAGCTCTAGGACCCTCCCACCACACAGGGTCCTAGAGTGTGGGCAATTAAATAGCTCTGCATCCCAAACCCCCTATGCCCAAGTCATCTGGCATGAGCCAGCCATGGGTTTTTAATTGCAGTTAAGGGTATGTCTACAAGTACTTACAAATTCTAAGGCTGAGCTGCTTGTAATGGCCACTTTACCACAGTATTTATAATCTCTGACACCTTCTTAGTACAATTTGTGTGTGCTAGAGGACTGGTTAACTTTCTCCCATTTTCACCATAATTGCAGTTTCTTTAAATTTGGGCTGAAACAAGTGATCTTCAAAGTAATACAGAAGCAGAGTTTGTCAAAAATGTGCAATTTGGATACTTTTTTCATTGAAATTTCCACAAAGTGGGTAAAGTTCTCATGAAGACTACATTCCACTTTTGACCAGACAGTTATGTTTCTTATAAAAACCACCTTCATCTTTGAGAGACAGTAACTATGAAATCTGTTGCTTTGATTTCTGGTTTAAATAAATCATGCTTATTTATTTCCCCCATCTAGATTTCTTCAGTAGTTTCTAAGATTCCTGAAGCTGATCTTTATATTCTGGAAAAAAATGGACTGCCTGCTCAAAATACAAATCTCTTTCCTATAACATTACATCTTCGCACTGTGGAAGCTATGCTGTATGCCCTATTACAAAAGACATTTATGCAAGGTGGCCAGCACAAGGTACTAAGTATGGCCCGAAGCACTGTAGGAAAACACTTTGGATTGATGGTAGGAGACTCTCGGTCTAGTGGAATGGACCTGGTGAAGCAGTTTCTCTTACAGTCAATTATCCAAGAACAGCCCCGGTTGTCCTTTTCCCGGAACAAGGTGGTACATTACAGAAACCTATTTTCTTCAGTCACAGAAAACAGACATGAGGAGATGTGTGATTCATTACTACAGGCTCTAGCCTTCTATGAGCTTATATTAAACAACACTACTTAAACCTTTTGCTGTTATGAGTAGAACCACAATAAACTTACACCTAATGTTTTGATCAAGTATCAGATATTTACTGACACATTAAATGATGTGCTGATGAGCAGAAACCAAGTTTGTGTGTGCTGTTCACGGCTATCTATCAAGGCAATCTCAAACTGATTTTTCTGTATTAAAAATATCTTTGGAGGACTTGTATATCACATGAGGCTGTAACCTCAACTGCGGCAGCTCATCCTCCAAATGAACAGATGCTGATTCTTATGCTTTTCTACACACACAGTTGTTCCTGATTAATTTTGTGTATAGACATTTATTCAGGAATAAATCCAGAACCATTCCATGTGTAGACAAACTCTTGTCTACAGTCAAATATGATGTGTCTTCCAGAGTGATTGTAAAATAAGAGGTGACCTTCCCCACTCCTCTGGTCACATCTCCAACAGTATCAGTCTACATTCCTCCTAGTCTTTCCACTTGCCCTAGTGATCCCATCCCGATCTCCCTTGTGCCAACTCCCATCCTCTGACTCTCCCCTCATACCAACATGTTTTAGTCTCTCCCATCTTAAACAAATCCACCCTTGACTCCACTTGTCTCTCCAACTACTGATCCTTCTCCCTCTTGCTAGACACTCTGGGACTGGTGGCGAACACTTTGGACTTGACATGTTCCAAGGGAAGGGCTGGAGTAGCTGAGGAGTAACATACCCTATCAGGCCAGAGGTCCACACTGATCAGCCACTGGGTAGCGCCTCTCAGCTTTTTGTTATTCCTGGGGGCATTCTGCACCAAAAAATTAAATATTCTACACACAATTTTAAAATTCTGCAAATTTTGTCAAAATAACACTCATCACCCCCACTTTGAAATAAATTACCAAAATAATTTAAACTACCTGTCAGCGAGTACGTCTAACAATACAGACACACAAAAATTCCTCCAGTAGTAGAGAGTTAAAGAAACCTCTAGGACACCCCAATTCCTGTTTCTCTAGGAGAGGGGCAGAGCCCAGCTGGGGGGCAAGACACCCACAACCCCCCTTCTCCTCCCCCCCCCCCCCACCACACACACTAGGGTGACCAGATGTCCTGATTTTATAGGGACAGTCCTGAGTTTGGGGGCTTTTCCTTATATAGGCACCTATTACCCCCCACCCTGTTCCGATTTTTTACACTTGCTATCTGGTCACCCTAGCCAATACACCCAAACCACCTCCTCGGCCCCCCTTGCCCAGATGCCTGTCCCCCTCCCTCCCAGAGATCCAGGAGAAAAAGCCTGATGCTCAATCCCAGGCTTGCATGGAGTTGCCTACATGCTGCCCTCTCCTTCCCTCAGGGCATGCTGGGAACTGCAGCTGCCAGGAACCCTCTAGTTCTCTCTCCCTCCCCCCCAGCAGTGTCTTGTGTGGGCAAGCTGGGCTCCGCCGTGTTTACTGGTCCCTAGTGGCAGTTAGCAGCACTGCAGCCCATTTCTGTGGGGGAAAGGAAATTCTGCTCGCACGTTAATTTTTGCAAAATTCTGCATTGTGCAGAGTTCTTCCAGGAGCATTATGTGCACCATCAGTAGCATTAGAGGCATACGCGGTGTGTGCGGGGAGAGGGGAGGCAAAAGGCAGAACTGCAGCACTTCTTGGGTGGAATATTTTTTTGTGGGGGGAAAAAATTCTGCACTGGACATGAAATCTGCGCATGCACAGAATTCCCCCAGGAGTAATAAATGAGGGAGTGGTTGAGAGCTCGCCCAGAACTGTAACACCAAACATTACGCCAAGGCCATGTGGAATGCATGTTCCCCTTTCCTCCCCGCAAGGAGGACCCAGGGACACTACCCCCACATCTGGGTAGAGGAAGCACCTGAAAAACTTTGAATATTTGTGGCTTTTTTTGTGTTACCAAAAACAAGCATACTTTCTAAACCTAAAAATAAATAATCTGAAATAGGATTAGGATTTGTGTAGTATTAAAACCTTTAAATGGGTTATAGCTACATAAATAACCGTATACAGTAGACATTGTGAAGATAAGTACACATTTACAAACAGTGGGCATATTTTATTCTTTACAAAACTGTACAGAATCAATTGATATTTAAAATATCTAGTGCGTTTAGACCCTTGATACAAAACTTAAGAGTTGTTTAGCTACCATTTAATAAATATACACCCGCATTCTGTTGCTTGAAATCCTGCACTCATCTTAAAATAACAATTTACTTTGTCATAAACGTGTTCAGAAATTAACTATAATAGAAAGAAGCCAGGAAAATGTAGGGTGAAAAAGCAGCGAGAGGGTGCTAAAACAACCGGTCTCCTCAAAAGTTATAGGAATGTCTAATGAATTGATGTGCAATTTTGTGTCCCTATACTGAACCTTACATGTCAGTCTTTAGAGCAACCGTCCAAACGTGATATTGGCTATGAAAAGAGGGTATTTAAATAAATGTATCATTTAGAAAAAAAAATACTTTCAGGTGATAAAAGGCAGGGGGTTTAGATTACATTTTAAATCTTACCTATCATACTGCCAGAATATAAAGAGTTGTACCAAGGTCTCACCCACAAATTTATTTCCTTTCAGATATAAAACAGATTTTAACCTCAGGTAACTGGGCTGAAGTCTTTCAAATATAAAATACAATATAAAAAAATAGAACACAATATACAAGATTACCAGAAGTTATATGTTACTAAATAATTCAGAAGTAATACAGATACAGAAGTGTTATTTACAAAATTTTGCCTAATCTGTTTGGGCCCCATCTCAGACTATAGTAAACATTTTCTCCCCATTTAAGATAAACATACTGGCCTGGCAACTGTAAATAAAATGCATGGAATAAAATGAAACTGAGGTATACAAATATGCAAATTATGAGGCACAGTACTTAAATTTATTTCATTTTAAGCATTTTTTACTCAATTTTTCCTAATATATTATTGTGATTAGTTAGAGGCTTACAGTTTTTACAAAAGTCTTGCATCAGGCAGATTATTTGGCAACTCTTTTGAAGATCCAGGCTGAAATCACTGCCTATGCCAATGAAGCAGTCTTCTCATGGAAAAACACTTTCTTTAAGTGGAACTTGTGGCAATGGTTCATTACTCAAGCACCTCTTGCTACCCAATACATGGATTAATTCTCCTTAATGGAAAGTGCACCTTTAGGGCAGCAATCAGAGGAAAGAATTATAAAGTGGTCCCGAAAGGTGCACAGATAGACTAAATGCTTTTGAACACACTTGGAGTAGATAGAAGCACCAAAAGAACCCACATTTGGATTGTGGAATGCAATACTATCACAGCAGAAATATACAGTTTGCATTTTTAAATACTCAAAGATTTAATATACAAATCACTCTTTGAATATACAATAAAAACTAAATGATATGGTAAAATCAAAGTACCATATAGACCAGTCTGTACAAGACACTACTCGTATAAAATATTTTAAGGGAAGTCAGCTGCCAGACTGTAAACTGTTTCTTTGGGTATTTCAAGATGAATTCCTTCAAGATAATGCAGGAACCTGTCAAAAGAAATCAGAGTGAACAGAAGAGGATTGATAATGTCCATTTTCAAAAATTAGGCAATGATTTTGAATGCAGCACATTTAAGAGACAAACTGTTCATGCATTCATTTGATGAAGTTACTTGATAAATGTCTCTAAAGTTTACTAAACACTATCATGCTAAAATGTAACAGAGATTAGGGTAAACCTAAACCTACCTTCTTTTAGTCTTCCCTTGTTCTTTAAGTTTCTCTGACCTACAAATATTGCGGAGGGTGGGCAGGTATTCAGTTATACTAGCTTGCCTGTTAACCAGGCTTAAAGGAGTTCTAGTGGAAAATACAGTTTTGATGATTTCCAGCCTCTTCTGGGCTTTTCTGTGAATGCTGAAAAGAAGGAGAATGAATCCTTATTATTTCTTGTTCAAACACACAAAAGTACCAGTATAACTCCATGAGGATCAAAAACACTGATTTAAAACTCCACAGAAATAACAGTTGCCAACTTTCATGCAGTGAATAGGCACCCAGCTTTCACAATAAGCTAAAAAAATCAAGCTAATCCCATTTCAAAACAAGGTCAAAACAAGCCAATCCCTAAGAACCCCAACACTCTGTGACTAGATCCCCCCAGTGTGCAGTCTGGGACTGTGGTGGGCCTGCTGTGCACCCCAGACTCTCTCCCCCCCTTGCTGGGAGCCGAATAAAAAAAAAAAAAAAAAAAGAACAGCGACAAGCTACAAGCCACTTAAGCCAAAAACAAGCCCAATTTCTGTTTTTTTTTTGCGGGTTTGGCATGTCTGGTCACTATCCAAAAATGCCCCAAACTATGACTATTACACAGTACTAAATCATCTTATGACTCCAGGAATCTTAGGATCAAAATCTGACTTGTAGGCTGTGTGTAGACTCCCCTCCCCCGCCCCAAAAAAAGCCACAGCCAGAGGAGGGACCACAAGACAGAAGCTCTCTGCTCTGCAGATTCTCCAAGTTCATCCGTGAAAAGAAGTTTTGAGGGAGGTCTTTCTAGGCATGGTCCTCATTTATGTTACACACACACACACACACACACACACACACCCCTCTACACCTGTTCTTGGCAGCAAAGTGCCCTGTGTTGGGGCTAGCCAGAATAGAGGCTTCACACTATCTCTCACTAATTTTTTCATGTCACAACGTGTGCCCGTTTTAGACCTTTGTGTCATTTTGATACCATCTAAATACATGTCAACACATTTTTACATTTGAGCTCAATCAGGCAGAGTGACTTGTTTTAAAACAATTTGGAATGGCTAGAAGATTTATTTCTCCATGTATCTATTTTTACAGTAATTAGTTAAGTAGTTAAGTATTCTTTACCATATGTGACAGAAGTTGGTATAATAGGTGATTACTCTGTTTTAGACTAAAATCAAACCTTTATATTAATACTTGTTAACATTAATAAAGACAATTTGCTCTAATGCCATATTCAAAGTTTTTCTTCTCTTGATTTTAGAAGACATACTACAAAAATATCCACATTTGATCTAGTTTTAATGGTCTCAGGCCCCAATCCTGCAAAAGATATGCATGTAATTTGGACTCACAATGACACTATTCACAT